TAATAGAAGTAATGCAATTTGTCCTCCATTTTGCTAGCTCAGTGGGAGGTCACGAAGCTCCTCAGTTATGGCGGCATAATCGTATTTTTCCTCAAATAAAATCATATTAATTTGTATGCATTTTAATCTACAATGCTTATGTGTATGGTGCATTTTTTAAATGCTAATCTTAAATAACAAGTAACAAAAAAGCCAAAGTAATAGTCCTGTGTACTCATACTTAGAAATGTGTTCTCGACATTTTAGGAAATCCCCTAAAATGAAGAAAAGAAATACCCTGCTGCTAAGCATGACACAAACTTCCATTATCGAAATAAACTGTCTGAATAATAAGGTGAGTTATCTTGTCGTATGACAATTTTTATAAAACTCAGATCGATTTTTGTTTTTTTTTTTTTGCTGAGTGTTCGTACATACAAATGTACTTACATTGAAGCGTATATGTTTATTTTGGCTTTTGGTTGTTTTCGCATTGCTGCTGTTGTTGAACTATTTGGGTGCATCATTGACTTTCTGCTTGCCACGGCGCAGAGTTTCCGCAGCATTTGCTGCTGTGATGTGTCAATGCAATGCAATGGTCCCAAAAACGATATACAAAGAAGCAAACAAATACAAGTTGGGTAGCTTGTCTGCAAGCTCTTCCCAAGCATCATATCAAACCAACCCACTCGCCGCCTAAGACCTTTCCATACAATAGCCAAATATTTTTGTTGCTGCTGTCGCCATTGTCGCCACAGCCATCATCCTAAGTTGTCCGTGTAACTTTCACTATACCCCTTACGCAACCGAATGCAGAAGACAATATTTCCGATCTGTCCTTATGCTCATCTCCAAATATTGTAGAGAAACGAGCCCAGTGGCAAAGCTCGTACTTTGAAATTTGAAACTCATCTCACAAAACAATTAAATTATGATTGGATTGACATGGATAGGTAATTTCCGAGATATTCACAGAGAATATAATCGAAAAAAGAGTCTTTCGTACATAGTACAGGGTATTACGTTATTGGCGAGTTAGTTCCACTTGACGTCTGCTTGTTTTATTTCTGAGTTGACGTCGTTTTCTTCGCTTATGTCGACTCAGTTTTGCAATTTTATTTCGAATGGATTTGTGACACGCGGACTAAACAATTTACAGTCGAGTTTTGCAACTTTTGTTGCAGGCTTTTGGGCTCACCGTTTATGGATGGCATAACTGGGTAACTGCAACAGCCACAACAATTGCATACTTTACGGTCATTGCCACAAAAAAGATAATATTTTAATTTTTTTGTTGTTTTGTGAATGCCAGACAGCTAAAATATGTTTTGCACTTAATTAGATAAGGCGGAGTAGTAATTAATTTATGTCACACTTTTATACATTTTACACACACTCAACTATAATACGATAATGCAATAAGCACATATTCATTGCCTCATGTTCTGAAATCCACTTTCGAGCCAAATGCACAGAACTTGTTAAGCCCACTTTTCCACTGACTTTGCTGTGACATTTAATTAAGCTTTTTAAGTCTATTTATATAAAACTAATTGTGTTAATTATAGATTGGTAACGACGGTAAGTGGGCAAGTTGTAGACAGTCCACAGATGAGTCATATTTTCATTTATTTAAACTTTAAAGTGTCAATTACAATTTGTTGCTTTCAGTGGTGGTATAATCTAAAAGAGAGAGAGAGAGAGAGAGAGAGAGAGAGAGAGATCAAAATGTATAAATTTGGCTTGCATTTTCACAATTTAAATCAGAAAATATTTTAAAACCCAATTGCGTTAGTTAACAAGGGGAACCACCACGACAAGGGGCAGTAGATGCTGGCATGGGAGGTGAAGAGCTTGGAAATATCAGCTTTATTATTCTGCTGCCGTTGTGTTGGACCTCTGTGCTATTATTTTGTTATTTTGGGATGTGTTTAATTGGTTTAAATTACACTCGTTTTATTGCACTTTGTGACTGCATATATACATATATGTGAGTTCATAAGGGTCACATGTAAATTTGTGAAATCAGCCGTTTGAATTGTTTATTCTCATTGATTATACATTTAATAATAAAAATAAATAAACAATTGCATGCCACGGCTCTTTAACACCCGGCACTCAATAATTTTATTTATTGTATTTTATTGGATTTATCGGTCAACTGTTCTTTATTTATTTATTTATTTATTTTTTTATTTTTATATCGCAACTTTTTGTTGTTTAATTAGTGTCTCTTTAACCAGACACACCCACATCCGAATTGTACACCCACGCTAGCCATTAAACACTTGATTAAAGCGATATAAATTACAATTGCATTCATTTTACTTTGCACATTCACAATTTTATACTCAACTCCCAATGGAAAAATGACCATATTGATTTCGTGTAGTGCCCCTAACGCTGTCCCCTACCCATTCTGACGCTATTGAAACAAATACTGGTGTATTGACTGATACATATTCAACACTTGAACACCCACAAAAGTATATATGGCATAGATTTTGAGCTGAAGTCACTAATTGTGGACAGTCACGATTTTTCTGGAAAGAGAGAGTTGACCAAATGAAAGAATTTGAATGAAACGTTTCAAATTCTTCAGTTAATTATATTTCCATAAGTCGAGAGTGTTGGAATAGGCAGTGTATATGTATTATAAGTTGGGGTGTATATTTATTCAGAGTTTTGTATTTAATACAGAATGTATGTCCGCTTCATACGACTTATACTACGCGATTCAAGCGACCAAAAGCGACTGAATCTTACTTCATGAAAGTAGCTTAAACATAGACCATCGAAGAAGGTCTTGATCACAAGGAACTTACAATTACCGTTGCTCGCAGGCAACAACAGATTAAGACTACAAAACGGGAATGCAAGACAAGCTGCGGTGTACATAGGCAAATACAGTTATTTCCAACAATATGTTAAAGCAAGTAGGAGTGCTGTAGGCGAGTGAACTCGACTACGAGATACCCTGAGTCTAGCTTTTAAATATGTCGCTTATGTTCTCTATAATCCATGTGTTCATATTGACCGACAGACTTACAAATGGCATATATATCGACTCGGCTGTTGCGCTTCGGCTACCTGTTACTCCTCACAACTCAAATAACGTTGGGTTTTTGTGTTAACAACAGATATTCTTATATGACATATGCTGGAAAACATCACGTTACGTGGCCTACACTCCTTAATAATGCTGATCATCCTCAATATCCGGAGAAGTGCCTTTTACTAGAATTTAATCGATCTAAGCTTCTACGACATCAAACTTGCAGTTGACAATGCAATTTTCGCACTCAACATGTTTGAGGTCGAAAGGCAACATAAAGCGGTTCAAAATCCCATTAAGTGACTCCCCTGCTGTCCAGCTTGTCTCCTACATATAGATGGAGACACACTTAGGTGTGTATGTAGTATGTGTGAATGTATAAGAGAGCAACAACCCAGATCCAATCCGCAGATAAGTCACGTCGTCAACGGGAGGCACAGCAAATTAAAACTAAATATGTGAACGCTCTGTGGAAACAAAGACTGTTGACGACCTTTGGCTGACATAAATTGATAAGGTCGCGCCACGATTTCATCAAATGCTGGCGCAGCATCGCTCTCCGTAATGTAAATATTTGATACGAAATCGAAGGAGAGTAATGGAGAGGAGTGAACAATATTATAAACACGAAAGTTGCACAGCCAGGGCTAAAATTTGGACAGCGCATGGAATATTTAATAAGCGTCTGATTGCTTTTTATTTTTTATTTATTAAAATTTACTTTTCCATGAATTAACAGAGCGACAAAATTGACCAATCGATTTGTGCTCTGCTGCGAATTCGTGGAAAAAATCGGCAAGAAATCACCGGCAGCGTAGACTTGTATTTGTGCCAAGACGTGATTTGAATATACAGCTTATAAACATCCCCGAAGTACTTAGGGGAATGTGATTCCTAAAAATAAGCAGTTCGTTTTGCTTGAACATAAAATCAGAAATATAAACGATTAGTCAGGTCACAAAATATCGAACAAATACTTTGTTCTAGTTTAATATATGTTTGTTAATGAACTATCTGTTGCAATTGCAAAATCTCCTGAAATAAAATGCGAATTCTATCTGTTATATACAGATGTACATATACAATGATTTCAGATAACAGCCCCGGACGGATGACATCACAAAGTGCGAAACAATAAACAGAGAGAAAAAAAAGATTTGAAAATTAAGAGGAAAACAAGTTACAACAATGAGAAACATTAAATAACACTCAAGACTGTTGTCAAAAAAAAAAAAAATTGTAGTCTTGAGGTTGACAAATATATACACTAACAGTAATATGAGCATTGGTGTTTAGCTATTACTTTATTTAATTGAAAATGTACAAGAAGCTTTGAGATATATACAGCCCAACGTAAACAGAAAAATATTTGGAAGACTCATCCAGGCAGCTTAATAGCTAAAATAATAATAAGCATCGGAACAAACAGACAGACAAACAGGAAGACAAACAAGCGGACAAGACTTGCCCTCTACTTAAAGGGTATATAAATTAAAAACACGATTCACTGGAAAAGTGTAAATAAATTTGTTTACGTGCATCACTTTAGAAACGAGGTTGGCGTGGATGGCAAGATCAACATTGAGTTAAATCACTATTAAAAGTACAAATAATTTGTATGTGAATCATACATAAACTAGATATATACATACGATTATATAAAAATGGATCAAAGCAATATGGTAAATATGTATAAAATGTATATAGGGTATATGGAGATGACTGTGTTTCAATCGAAGCTCAGTTGAAGCTTTGCCGATCGGTTTTGTTGACTTTCATTGCCCACTTTTCGATTTCATTTTCAAATCGCGTTTCATTCTCATTGCGTTCGTTAAGCATTTCGTTGTTGTTGCTATTTCTTTATGTGCTTATCGTTGTTGTTATTGTAGTTGTCTCGTTGTCTCTTGGTTGTTGTTTGTGTGTTGCTGCTGTCGTCTTTAGCTTAGTTCAGTTCCACTCTCAGTCTCGATTTCAGTTTTGCGTCTATCGTATTCTCATCGAGTTCACTTAAAGTTTGTCCCGCTTCGAGCTGCGCACAGTTTCAGTTTTACATTTAATGCGAGCACATCAAGTTAGTAGTGAACCGATTTGCATATTTATCAAATTCGCACTTTGTATATATAATTTATATATATGCACATAAATATATATATTTTTTTAAATATTTTTTGAGAGTTGCCATTTGTTTTTTTTCTTTTTTTTTCTACAAATGAGTGTTTTGGGTTTTGGCTTTGCGGAATTACAGAAAACGTTCATTTTTGTTCCTTGCTAATTACTGACTTTTATAAAGCGTGTAATGTTTAAAAGTGTTAACACCTTCTTGTTTTTTGTTGACTCAGATCATGTTATCGTCATTTAACAGCCAACTTCCTTCAAATGTTTTCTTCAGTCAATTACGGTAATTGCAGCTTACTCACATGCTCCGTTTTTCGTTGGTATTTCTCTGCTTACAGCCAGCCATGAAACTGTTCGCCCTGCTCCCCATGCTCCTGGGCTTTCTGGCCATTGGTCAAAGCAACGCCGCTGTGGGCACCACCCATTTGCTATGCTACTACGATGGCGACAGCTTCATCCGCGAAGGTAAGAAAACTCTAAAAGAAAACCTAATTAAATAAATAAATATACAAACATAAATTATAATTAAATAAAAATTGATGTAAAAATAATGTACACAGAGAAATTCAGTTTAGACTAAGAACAAACTAGTTGTTAACTTTTTGGGTTAATCATAAATCTATTCCCTGATTAGACAAGACAGTTGACAGAATTCACAACCATAGTTGCTAAATAAATTGAGCATTTTTAATGTTTTTTTTTTTTAATATATCATACATTTAAATAAGCACAAAATATATATTTTTTACAATATTTTTGTGGTAATTTGTAAGTTGTTTGTTGTACATTTTGGAAGTTTCAGCTTAGGCTACTCCGGGTACAGAGCATCTGCTAGTCATTCATTATTGTTTTAATGTCATGACTATCAAGACGAGTAGAGATATTTTTAGTAATTAGTTGAAAAGGTTATCAACAATAAGCAGAGAGCGAATTTTGAAGAGCTAAACCAACTCAAGTGAAATTCGTCCCCGTATACTTAGTATAGTATATTATTTTAATTATGTGTTATGTATATATATATATACATATATATATATTCAAATGTGTATAGCTTGTATAATTACCTTGCGGTTACGAGCTCTGCTTGAGAAACCATTTAAAAATACAGATCTATTTACACTTCATAAGTGTCTGCTAAGTGCTTTGACTGCATATATATGTACATATATGTATAGTTAGCTGAAAAGGTGGGTTTGTCCAGGAAAAGGGGTTACAAGATCAGCGCAGTAAGCTTTCAAGGGAATTGTGTAAATTGAAATGAATAATTTTGAGAAGGGGCTGTCGGAGCAGTCAATCCACATTTGTTGGCGATTGTTATTGCCGTGTTTTTGTTTGTTTGTTAATTGAAATTGAATTTGGAATCATATGACACAATGTTGAAAATGATGAGTCACAACAAAGTCGCATTGAAGCAAAGTTTTTTTTAATTGGATTTTGTTCAGGGTAATAAATATTATTTTTGGGTTGGGCAGCATTAAAGTAAGCAAACTCGTCGTACTCTGTGCTCCTCTTTCCACTCTCCATCTCTCTCTATCTCTCTGCCTCTGTCTCTGTCTCTGTCTCTGTCTCACATGCAATGCTATCTATCTCTCTTTTATTCAGGGCTTTCCAAGCTGACGCTTAACGACTTGGAGCCGGCAATGCAGTTTTGCACGCACCTGATCTATGGTTATGCCGGTATCAATCCCAGCAGCAACAAGCTGGTTAGCACCAATGAGAAACGCGATTTGGATCTGGGTAGCAGCCTGTTCCGCTCGGTGACTGGCTTGAAGAAGAAGTACCCAGCGCTGAAGGTGCTCCTCAGTGTCGGTGGTGATAGGGATGCACCTGAGGAGGAGAACTCCAAGTATCTGACACTGCTGGAGAGCAGCAATGCCCGCATCCCGTTCATCAATAGCGCCCACTCGTTGGTCAAGACCTACGGCTTTGATGGTCTCGATCTGGCCTGGCAGTTCCCCAAGAACAAGCCAAAGAAGGTGCACGGCGGCATTGGCTCGTTCTGGAAGGGCTTCAAGAAGATCTTCACCGGCAATCATATTGTTGATGAGAAATCCGAGGAGCACAAGGAGGAGTTCACTGCGTTGGTGCGCGAACTGAAGAACGCGTTCCGTCCCGATGGCTATATCCTTGGCCTCAGCGTTCTGCCCAATGTCAACTCGTCCCGTATGTTGCCCTCAGTTACTAATTGCAGCGTGTCCAATCTTCATTCTTTGATTTTCCACAGTGTTCTATGATGTACCTGCTTTGATCAACAACGTGGACTATGTGAATTTGCATGCTTATGACTTCCAGACACCCGTCCGCAATCCGGAGGTAGCCGACTTCACAGCGCCTATCTATGAGTTGAACGAACGCAATCCCGAATTCAACGTCAACTATCAGGTGCAATACTGGCTAAACAATCATGCACCCGCCTCCAAGATCAACGTCGGCGTCGCCACCTACGGTCGTGCCTGGAAGATAACCAAGGATTCCGGCTTGACCGGACTACCACCAGTTGCCGAGACTGATAATGTTGGCCCTGCTGGTCTTCAGACACAAATCGCTGGCTTCTATAGCTGGCCCGAGGTGTGCGCCAAGCTGCCCAACCAGGCCAATCAGCATCTGAAGGGCGCTGATGGGCCACTCCGCAAGGTTGGCGATCCCACAAAGCGCTTTGGCAGCTACGCCTATCGCTCCGCCGACGATAAGGGTGAGAATGGTCTCTGGGTGAGCTACGAGGATCCAGACACGGCCGCTCTCAAGGCCGCCTACGTGAAGAGCAAGGGTCTTGGCGGCATCGCTCTCGTCGACCTCAGCTATGATGACTTCCGCGGCGGCTGCACAGGCAACGAAAAATATCCCATTCTGCGCGCCATCAAGTATAAGTTATAAGCGGGCACATACATATATATACATGTCCCTCCACTATATATATATATATACATGTCAATCCACACTTGTAACGCCTTTTTACAACTACTAAAAAATATATATGTTTTCATTCCGAGTAATCACTAAATATTAACTCATCGTTTCTTTTGATCTAATTTTATGTTTTTGGCAATCATTTGCAAAGTGTTTTGTATTACCTTTTCTTTATGGATAAGTTTTTATCATTTATGTTTTCATTGGAATTCCTAGTTCGGCTTAAAAGAACTGAATAGCTTACATAAGAACAGACAGCCAAACCGACAGATAGACAGAAGTATTGATTCTGATAAAGATTTTGCATATTTTGGTGATGACTCCATTGGTAATAATGCGCTCAGCAAGTGCTCAGATATATGTATATTTATAATGCAGATATATTTATATCTAAATGCAATTAGATGGAGCATGCTAACCAGTTCACGCTGCTTGCCACTAGCAAATTATCGCATTCATTCGTGAGTGTCAGCCACGTAACCTGTTCCATTTGGCCTGGCTGTGACTTCATTTCTGCATTGCTTCCGGTGCTTGTGCCAGTCTGCGGTTGCCGTTGATTGTTTTATGTGTGCGATGTTTGCGTTGGTGGTTCCTTATCTCTACCTCTGCCTCTTACTGCTCCTATTTTTGAGAAAAGGCAGACAGGCCGGCAGGCAGGCAGTCAGCCAGGCAGGCAACAATAACAACATCGTCCAATGTCTCATTCATCTTTTGTGCAGCGGTCACGCTGTGACCACTTGAAACGTTGCCCTTGCCATTCCGCTTGCTGACACCGACGAGAAACTGACACACACACACACACACACATACATATCGAGAGACACTCACACCCACTACAGATGCCACTGGATCACTTTATCATTTGCAAAATTGCAAACTGCAACCACAAAACCATAACACTGACGCATACAAAGTACATTTTTGGGAGTTTGGGACAGCATCACGCATACGCACTGTTCTACGGCTGTACGGTTCTACGGCTTTGCGGCTTCCCGGCTGCCCGGCTGCCCGGAAATGTGTCCGCTCGTCCGTCCGAATATGAGCTGGACCCCCACTAAAACATGACTGGGAGTCCGTTGATTTAGTTCGCTCCGTTCAGTCCGTGCTCGAAGAGCGCTTACCATTTGGGCAATGTTCCCGTTGTTGTTGCTGTTGTTGTTGATTTTGTAGCTGCTGCTGCTGCTGATGTCACTGCTGGGTTTATCAGTGGCAACAACACCAGTATAAATCTTATGTCTGCATTGAGTAAGAGACTTCTCTCCACTTCTCTTGCAGTCAGTCATTTATTGCTTGTGGGGCTTGTGTTACGGCTGCTGCTACTGGTGCTGCTCATGTTGCTGTTGCTGCTGCTGCTGCTGCTGCTGCTTCTACTGCTGCATGTTGCATGTTGGCCAAAATGTGCGATGGTGGCACAGAGAAGCGTTGCAGTTGCCATTATCGTTGCTGTTGTCACTCGTTTTGCACGCATGCAATTAGTCAGCCTCAAATTAACAAGTTGCCGTGCAAAATGCCACGCCCACAACCAATGAACCCACTCATGGAGCAAATGCCCAGTACAGATGTGTGTTTCGAACTTGTTAATTGAGCAGTGGCACCAACAGCAGCAGCAACAGCAACAGCAGCAGCAGCAGCAACAGCAGCAGCAACAGCAGTAACAGCAACCGATTTTGACGTGGCACATGAGCATTGTTTATCGGTTTGGCATTTCAAAACTCCCGTTAACAATTATCACAGCAATTTCAGCAATTTGTAACAAGTTGTTGTGCTCGTTGTCAATGTCATCGTCATCTAGTCGTTTTGGCAGTCGTTGCACGCACATCGATGATTCAGTCCAATCCCCAATAAGTTCATAACAATTAACACATCGTCCCAAAATTGTCATAGATATGTAGATACATAGATAGTTATGTAGATAGATATTCTTGCATATGGACACTCCTCTACAGGATAAACTCAACACAATTGCCGAAACATGGCTGCAAATGACTCACTGAGGCAGCTTCGTTTGAATCCCTTAAATGCTTTGCTGTGTCAGCACCTGGGTCACAATACAAAAAAAAAAAAGAAGAAAAAAACACCCGAGAACAGACCCGAAAACCGTTATCGGCCAGGGATAAACATTTTATGGCCTGGACACGTGCGAAGGACCAAAGCAATTTTGGACCCAAAAAAAAAAAGAAAAAAATTGCCTGCCACCAGACTAGTATTTCAGTCAAAAGGTGAACTATCAATGTACTCGCTGTAGCAAGCCCAACAAGCGGCATGTGCGACACTCAACCTATGCAAATGGGCCATTGTGAACTAAGCAATCATTGTAAGCCAAGTATCGCTCCTATTTGCTACTTGCCACAAGCATCCATTTTGAAATTAGTGGCCAAACAGCCTCAAGTGCCATTCAGACAACAAATATTCGAACTGTTTGGCTTTTGGCCTGGCTTGTTGTTTTGGCTGTTAATATTGTGCGAACACCTTTTGAGCCTTCTCCTATGATCAATGCTAATCAGCATACAATTACAATTAGTGACTGCATGTTTTTGTTTGTGTTTATAGCTTACTAAGGCTACCATTTCAGTTAACTTGGCTTGAAATGTTGGCTGAAAATACAGCTAAATGTGCTAATGGCTGTAAAGATTTCTCTTATCCACAATTATCGTATTCAAAGCGTATCGTTACCAAATTCACCAGTTGTGATTAGTTGTAGCGACAAGCGGTGAGTTCTTAAATTTTTAATGAAAATTAAATCTACAAGGAAATGTTAACTTCGGTGTGCCTAATCCGTTCTTCCTTGTTCTAACATATTTTGAATGTGCCACACAAAAACTGTTTGGTTAATCTATCTTGGTCAATCTGGGCAAAATAAACAAAAACAATTTCTCTTGCCTCAGGCTGCTCGACTGAGGGTTACCCCATACACAATTGCTTACCTTACACACATATTTACATAATCGAGTGAAAAGCTATTCAAAAGTCGTGTAGCAAATGTGCCAAATACTAAATAATTGTGTATTTGACGCAAAATGTAGAGAAATATGTAAGCGGTATCAAGTTGAGCGTTATCAATCGAAATGCGTGAAACAACTTCTGCGGTTGATCTATATAATACTCCTTCTTTTTTATTATTATTTGTGTTTTCTTCGTCTATTTCAAACATTATTATACCCATTTTAGCCATTTTTAATGGCTTCAGGGTATTTAGAAGTGTGCAACATCTCGGGGCGTGGTCGGGCTTGGGTAACCATATTTAACATTTTACGTCAGCTGTGCAGAGGTGTTAGATTTCAGAAATGCCCCCCAAATACTTACATACATAACACACGAACACACACACACACACACACACACACACACACACACACACACACACACACACACACACACACACACAGGCATGCAGTTGCTGCTGCGCGAAAGTTGCGCTTGACTCAAAAATGGGCGACACTGCAACTGAAAGCGTGTACAGCGGTGTGTGTGTGTGTGTGTGTGTGTGTGTGTGTGTGTTGCCGACTACGTGCAAATTTTTGCCATCTGGAGTCCGTTGCCTCGCTGGCCATGTTTACGACTCCTCGGGGGCCACTTGATTAGAAGAAGTTGCCTGGGAGTTGTACGAGCATTTCTACGAGCACTTCTTCTCTGTATTTGTGTGTGTGTGTGTGTGTGTCTATGAGTTTGTTTTTTTTCTGTTTCTTTTTTTTTTTTTTAACCGTTTGCTGTTTGCTGTTTGCGGCGCTTTCCTTTTATTGTAATAGCTGCAGCAGTTTGTTGAGCATGCACCTTTGGCATTTATGCCGGCCAGGTGGCAGGTGAGTGGTGAGTGGTGAGTGGTGAGTGGTTGACCCTTACCTGAGGGACTGCTTGCTGCTGCTCTACTACTAACTAATTAATTAAAAAGCATCGTAATCTTCATCGAATATTAAGCAAAGGCAACAGGGCCGAGACACAAGGCACAAGGCACAAGGCTCGACGCTCGACGCTTATCGCTGGGCACAAATCACTCGGTTCATAATGAAAATGTCAAGCTACCATCCCGCAAATGAATCCTGTTCGCGAATAAGGAGCTGGAGGCCGAAAAAGTGTCGCCGGAGGGGAGGAGAGGGGGGGAGGGGTTGTGCGCATGTTAATTAGCAAATGCGATGACTGACTGCTTCAATGCGATGTGGCCAGCATGTGAGCACCGGTCACAGACTTTATCAATTCATTAATCAGACAACGAAGGGGCTTTGGGTCAAAAATATTGGGTTCCACATTCAGTTTTTTCCATCCAGGAACAAAAGCACTGAACACACCTATCAAAATATACATATATACACAAAGCAAACGGTTACAACGCCAATAACAATGGAAGAAAGGGCAGTGAATGCCGGGAATGGGTTTGTAACGCAAAGTGGGAGACTTGCTGGGGAGGGTGGGTGGGTTATGCTGGCTGGGGTGAGCACTGGTAAAAGTTTTCTCCAAATTGACCAAAGAGTTGGGAGGCGCGTCCAAAAATGTCTGCGTAAATCATAAAAACCAGCTTACGAAAGCAAAAGCGACGGTCAAAGTCTGAGTGGCAGGCGTTCGGTTGGGCGAATGGGTGGCTCTTTTCACGATGGTGGTTGCTGCTTCTTCGACGTTGGAATAGGATTAGTATGACGTTTGATCAAAGCGACAGACAGAATGACTATCAGGCTATGTATAGTAGTTGTTGTTGTATTCGGAATTATGAAGGCGAAACAACATCAGCAGCACACACACACACACACACACACACGCTCAAACAACAACATTAAAATTATTTATCGCTCTTAGTTCGCAGCAATTGTCTGCGCGTGTAGTTTATGCCCCATGCCACATAGAGCCGCCGAGCCACGCCCATCCGCCCACGTCTGCAGTGAAAAGGCGCTTATGGCCTGCTGCGTGAAATGGCTTAGTACCAGAAGGGGTGAGAGCTCACAGAGACGGGCACTGGCACAAGTTACCACCCAGCTCATCAGCAACGCGCCAGCCTCTCTCACGACCGCGGCCTTTGTATCTGAATACCGGGCAAATAAATCAAAACTCGGCAGGCGATGGAGGCGGCGGTCAATAGGGCGTGGATCGTGTGGAAAGGGCGTGATG